CCTTCCTTGTATTCATGACGTCGGCTAGTGGCTTATCATGCCTCCTATAATTTAAGGGTTGCTTGTAAAAAAAATCCTATTCAGCTTATCAGTGTGACATATTTCTGTTTATAATCTATATATAGCAACCATAAGTAGTGAAAAGCGCGCGGGTATTTTTTGATGTAGTTGTAAGTTAAAGTTCAGAAATGTGCATGATAATATTTAAATTTGCATAGTAATTATAATAATTCTAGTTTCATTGCTGATTCTCATGAGAATAATTTCATTTATAGTCATTATCCGAACCGCGTTAAGTTTTTGGTGCCCATACGACTGGGACGCAGTTCGAGAGGCCTACACTTGAAAGTGAGCGCCAATTCCGATTCCAAAATGCAGTTCTGGTATGTGGATTTATTTAACCGGTTCGGAGAACCAGTGGATTGTCCACCTCATTGTTTCTTTTCAGGAATTGGTATCCGATTTATGTTGCCCCTCATTATGGAGTGCTGAACCAGATTTGGAGTTCTCTGATTGTGAAGGATGTCCGCCAATTGATCCAATTGAAGAACACCCAACGAAAGGATGCTTTGCGGAATTCAGTGGAAGCAAAGTAAGAAAGAAGAAAAAGAAGAAAAATCGAGTCGCCCTCCATCTGTGGAGATTATTGAAGGTGCGTGGAGCTATCAATAGAGCTGCTGACTGTTCATGCTTATGTCATTTCGTATTGTTTACATCAAATTGGTATTAGCTGTTCTAAACTGACCTACTAAATTCGAATTTTCAGACGACGCTACTGTAACGGCGTTGGAATTAGTTGAAGAGATTGATTGCGATCGTCGTGAGTTGCTATTTTGTGTTTGATACCCATTTTGAATATTGACTTCTCTGATAGTTCTGTACACAGAATCGTCGAGTACATTGGAGGCGATTGTATTTTCGCTTTGTACCTTCGTGAACAACCCCGATCAAAAGATTGCTGCAGTTCGCCAGGCTCTCGAGATACTGTCAAAGGCGACGTCTGCCGCCATAGAGGAGCGAAACGAACCTTTCCTAGAAGTGGTTAGTGATTTTCTGACTCTCCAGGTTTATGCGAAAAGATGGTGAAAGTGGTGATTGGGAAGTGTGCGGTATTGAAGACATGTTCTGCGATTACATAGCGAGAGTATCACGCCTAAAAGCAAACGAATTTCAGTTAAAGAGAAGGCTGAAAAGAAGGAAAAGACACTAAGACGCTAGAACCAAAGACCTGATTTTTTCAGTAAGGCGTATCGTGTTAAATGACGAGACAGTGAGCATCAGGAAAGAGTACAGACGAGAGGAACATGTAGGATCAGGCATCCGACGCATAGACCTTTGCATTCGATTGACAAGAGTAGATCCTGGCTGGTCAAGTTTATGCTCATTATCAAGCTGCGCGAACAGCACTTACTCTACTTTTGTGGATAGCTTTACCCTACCCACGGAAGGGATCTTCCTGGCTGGATCCTTTCTGTGAGGGGGTTTGTCTTCAAATGTGAATTTTACGATGAAAAGGCAGCCTTTTGAAAATTAAGTTAGAGATGGATAGCTTCACCCTACCCAGTGTGTACGAAAGAAGAAAATTGTGCAAAAATTTAGAACTCGAGAATTGCGAGAAAAGGGTTAGCAGCTGCGGAGTGGAGGGGTAATGGGACCCCTACCTGTTCCAGCTGATTTTTTGCACTATATGTGCACGTGGCAGCCGCTTCGCTATGGTCCCTCTTGTCAACGCTAGGGGCTCTTGCGCTGTGGAACGGCGAGAGGTAGACACGATGGACCGACGGCTCAGATGGAAGCGGCCCACCAGATGCCAATAACGCGCCATGGCCCACGGGGGAGGCCATCGCTCAGGGCAGGTCCTTTGATGCGAATTGCAAGTCGGTCCGCACCCTCAGACGTGCGCTTGTCTATCCACCAGGTGAGTTTTCTCTTCTTCGTCCTTGTCGTAGATCTTTTTTGAACGGTAAATGAATCGAAAGCGAATGGCTAGCACATGGCTTGACGAATGCCAGCAGAATTTCAGTGGTGGGAGCTCGTGGAGGAGGAATGAAGTCGGAGATGTCTTTGGAAACGTGGTCAAGTAATATCTAAGGAGTTAATAAAGGAAAAAAGAATGAACATAGTTGAAAGGAAAAAAGGTGGTCATTGGATAGAATCGTTTTGCACTCATACCACCTCCGCTGTCGAGTGACTGTTACGAATTTTGTCTGAGTTTGAAGGGTGAAGTCATTGCACTGGACTTTGATGCTATACGGCATCCATGATCCTGAATAGAAATACAACGCATATCACCCTTTTTGATCTCATATCTGTTCCAGATTCGCGGGTGTATTCGACGTGTTGGCGTTCGCCCAATATTCGATAGGATGGACAAGATATTTGGTTCGGATGATGTAGTGGCTTGCCTACTTGCTGTATCATCCATTCTTGATTCTTTGGTAGGCGAACAGGTATGTTGCGTTCATGATCTATTTTGTTCGAATCTCTGTTCTCCTTTTTTAATTCCATTATATCATTCCTCCATGTTATCGGTAACCCATAGGTTCTACCAGAGGTTCGGTCTGTAGCAAGGTTGTTATTCGAGTCGATAATTTCAGGTGATGGTTTTGTACAAAATCCTCGACTATTCACCTGCTGAGCACTCTATGGCATCGATCATCATCAAGATCGACGAAATGCCGCAACCAGATGCCTCATCGAAGTGTTTGGTGAAGATTTTAGACAAGTTCTTCGATTCGTTGAGTAGCTGCTCTGTGCCCGACGAAGGTGAAATCTAAGGTTGTCTTCAATGATAGGACCCCAAATGCTATTCACCTGTTTTTAGCTGCAAATGGTGCGGAAGAAATAAAAGTCCCAGTCATGTACGGTAAAAGTGAGGCTGTCGCGAAAGCTTACCGTATTCCAGTAGTGGAAGTGGTTGAAGGAACTCGAGAAGTTTATAAAAGAGTTAAAGCATCGTCTAGGTAATCAATTGCTTTCATTAACAATGAAGCATAGGGTTTCAAGAGTGGTAATCTTCTTGCAGTATATTGGTAAAACGTCAGAAGACAGTCGGAACACGAATGGGCACCGAGGTAGCGAAACTTATCGATGCCAACAAAGGTAAAGAAAAGGCAGTACGAAAGCTGTTACGGAAGGAGTTGGGAATTCGGTTAGTCCCTCAGTTACTTTTCTTCTTTTCATTGAAGACTCTTCGGTTGAATTTTGAAAAAAAATCATACAGGCATATGCCACTATCGGCCGCAAGGGTAGGTGGAGTAGACACTTACCGATCATCCTTCTGCTGATCGTTCGCTCGTATCTTCTCTGCAGTGGAGCTGCAAACCGTGCTGCTAACCAGGAAAGGCATTCAACTTCCCATGGAACTTTTAGGTGACCCAGATATATCGATAGAGCTTCAAACGCTGATTACAAATATGGAAACTAAAACTGCAAAATGAACCTGCCAAGGAAGTTGTGAGCAGTCAAAGTTGGCTGGAAGTAAAGCGTTACGTATTAACCGTGCTAGCCTCCGGGCTTTCAAACTCGCCGTGGAGTAGTTAGTTGTAGTGCTCTCGAAATTTGCATTCCAGAGGGAAGAGAACTTACCGTGTGACCCTCACTTTGGAGAGAGCAATACTCCGCGGCGACTCTGAAAGCCTGGGATCCAGCACGTTCATATGCAACGCTTTACTTCAGCCAACTTTGACTGCTCACAACTTCCTTGGCAGGTTCATTTTGCAGTTTTAGTTTCCATATTTGTAATCAGCGTTTGAAGCTCTATCGATATATCTGGGTCTCAATTCAAAGTTCCATGGGAAGTTGAATGCCTTCTCCTGAAATGTACCGCCCCTAAGGTAGATCCTCTTGCATTGGCTGAAATTGTGCGACGATTTCTTTTTCCGAACGTACGTGGTCAAAATTTTTGGCGTTTGCTCGGATTGCTCGCTGGATGGCCCAATAGTTGTAACTGGCGGGTGCACTGCTATTTGCAACTCGTTTGTCGCTATTGTACCGCCGCTATATTCCCCTTGTTTCGCAGCCCATTTATACCTGTCTCCATTCATCGTTTACCCAGGCATGTATGCATGACCAATTTTCTCTGTCTGCATCAAAAGTTTAGAGAACGTATCAGTAAATCGGAAAGCTCGTTGGAGAGTTTTAGATACTTGATGAATTTCGTGCTTTCATTAGCATTCTATGATCTTTATGATTTTCTCCGGTAGTCACACGGAAGTCCGATAGTTACTTTGTGCTTGCCCTGTTTCGATGCATTTATACCCAGAATAGCCCTTCAGCGCATGAGTAGTTGAGGGTATTTATTTTTCGTGATCTAAATCAATTTGAAACATATCGTCAGTGGGGTGGGCGGCTGTGAAACAAGCTGAACTGCGGCATTTTCAGCGAACCGGCTCCACCTCGTGAAAGTCCACGCAAAAGACCTCTGTCAGTTCAGAAGGAAACCCACGATGTCAAGCATAAGAAGGTTTAAGCTGTAAATCATCTTCTTCGTGTTTTCTCACGTGTGCTGAGGACACACTTGTAAATTAGCTCAGGTAATGGCATACATTAGATGATCTTGTGAAGAATTGTTTTTTGTTAGCATGTTTCTCTTAGAACGATCTGATTATCAGCGTGAACGGTTGTAAATTTCTACCGTATATCTTGTTATCTCAACTACCTTATTGAGTTTTTCTTTCAAGATTTTTTGTTGTGGCGTTGTTTATGTGTCATTGGTTTGATCATCAACGTTTTTGTATGAGAGGTGCATTGTCGAAAGTCATTGTTAATATTTATTTATAGTAATGGACTTAATTTTTATTCATATCACATCATCTTCTCAAATCTATCAGTATGATTAGTAAAAAACATTTACTTGCTTTAAAATTCATCGGGTAATTGTTGTTAGAAAACATTTGCGAATTTAATTCTCAGAACAATTTTCGTAATAAATATTGCATTTCCAAATGGTTAAAGTTAGGCAAAATTACTCGTTCTGTACAGATTTTACTTAAGCTAGATCATTCGGGTCGTGGTAGGGTTTTCTCCATCTCGATTGAAGGTGCATTTGTGAAGAATTGCTTATCAAGTATGAATTCCGCCGCACCGCTGATAAGTACTCGATTCCTGTAAATATATTTTGGGGAAAGAAAATTGATTTTTTTTTCATGGCTACAAGGGAGGTACTGGCCGTGTCAACGTCACAACTAGAAGGGATTTCAATGATAGTTGGTGATAGCGACCGTAGCTTTTGGTCCGAGGGTTACGGTATCGGGTGCAACAAACGACATAGCTTTTTAGTCGTTGGGTGTTGGTCAAGATGCCTACGTTGCAACGGCGCAGCCATGGCGACGTGTGTGCGGTATGAAAGGTACCGTATCCAAGCTCACTCGATTCTTTCCATTCTCGCTCTATCCTCCAGGGGTCCGGATCACTGCTCTTGTTTCGCTTTTTGTGCCCGTGGAAGTCAATAGCATTTGCAATGCGCAGTCGTTCAACTGCGACTTTGAAATCAAGCTGTCAAAACGAGGTGTGAATGCGACAGCAAGACTAATTTAGACAATACGACGAAACAATGCGACAGGTAGCCCAATCCAACCCACTAGGGAACTGGCGGACACATGCGGCGTTGCTCTCCTGAGATACCCGACAGGGCGACTCGTCGCCGCTCAAAAACAGCGCCAGATGGTCAACGAGCGAGTCGTGGTGTGTGATGTGGACGTACTTTAGTACTTTCATTGAACTCGACGCGAAATCACTAAACTACGCGCTGGGAAATCTGTCTCTGCCTTCGCGCAGCGAGACGGGCCTCTTGCCTTCGTACTCTTTTCCTGGGACATCCGTCCCAGAGTTAACCCGTACACTTTGCCAAGACCTAAAAAAAAAACGCGAACTCCTATCCATCGCGTTCCCCAACAGATGCTCCTTTTACTGGTTCATGGTTCGTATAAGTTGATTCTGTTCACTCAGTCATCTGCCAACTGCCCCTCCCCGTTTCTCTTATAAACTCCGCTCCATGCTCGAATCCCGTGAAAAACTTTCAAATTCCAAGCTTTTTCTTTCCATGCTGCTCGAAAAATACCGCCGACTTCCTTTAATCAAGTACGACCCTGTCGTCTGGAGACTTAGTCGAATTGGTTGACCCTGTTTTTCTCCCCACTCTGTTATCAATGCGCAAAAAAAAAACGTAACTCACTTTTGTTCTCCTAAAACTGCTGTGGAGCCGTCTCAATCTGTAATAAATCCAGAACCAAAAATCGGCCGCCAGACATGCACGAAAACCCTGCAAGGCAGAATTGCTAGCTGAGCTCTTGGCATGAGCCGAAATTTCTAACCCCCATAGCTTTAAATCTAGTACATGTGACTTAGCTACTTGCAACTTTTGTAAACAATTACATACTTTATCTTTTTCATATCATGGCAGCACAACTCAGGAAACAGGCAGGCAAAAAGGCAGAGTCAGCGGACGAGTCGCAGCGCGTACTGTAGTGATTTCGCGTCAAGTTAAATAGAATGCCATTGTACGTCCTACATCGCACATCACGCGCTGCGACTCGTCCGCTGACTTTGCTCTTCTTGCCGCGCGACGGGCCTCTTGTCGCGGTACCGAAGCACTCGGAGTGCTCAACTAGCCGCCTCTAGCGTTGTGAAAGGGTAATATGCTAGGCTTCTGGGACGTCTAAATAATGTAGACCTTGGCTGATCAACGGCTAGAAGCGTGAGCTATGTGTCAAGGAAATACCTTTACCAACTGGAGTTTCGCCTATGGCCTACTTCGTGGCTAGTTCTTTTTCCTACCTAAAAGAATACTTCCCATTCCGTCCAGCTCAGAAAAGGGCAAGGGACCATTCTTAAACAGGGAACTTTTTTAGTTTCCAAATACATCGTTGGTTCTTCAAATTTTTGTGAAGATTTCTGAAAAATCAAAATCTTCTCGGAAAAAAAATTCCAGACGACAATAACTAAGCGCTCCTACCTTCTCGGGATTTCAGTGCCGATTTCAGAGTTATTACCTCATTCAGGCAAAATGAGACCTTAGTTTTCCAGCGCGAAATACAACCTTTCTTCCGCGCGTCGAGCAAACTTGGCATTGGCTCACCTTGCTGAAAAGCTCGAACAGAGCGATCGTCCCACCTACTCAGAATGAGGCTACGTTTCAACCGCGCGCCCAATGTTACATATTTAAACACCTATGCTGCTGTGCATACAAAAAGGTGTTTCAGGAGAGGAGGTTTCAACTGCTGACTCACCAAACACAGAGAGCAGCAGCGAAAAATGAGATAACGCTGATGTTGAAGGGCCAGATTGGTCCGAAATCGCGTTCCATTTCCGGTACTCTGCAAAAAAAGAAACCTTCATGGATACCCAAAAATGTTGTGCATTTTGTTCTTGTGTAAAAGATTTGTAATTTCAGAAGCTGATTTCAAACAACCCTCTGAACCGGAACTTTCCAGGCTATTTCATTCCAGGTTCATCGACTCACCGCTTGATTGAACATCGGGATGGAATAATGGCATTGCATGATGCCAATTAGACAAGATCGAAAAGCCGAGAAGTTCAAATGGCCTTACAATTAATGGAATTCGATCCACGGGAAATCAGTCGTACGACTGGACGGGCGTGAGCGAATATTAAACGAAGCAAACTCACTTCACGAAAACGCTGAACAACTGGTGAGTGAGTGAAATACCGAAGGACATTGCCACTATCGCGACGGCTGCAAGCATCATCAGAATGGTGATCTCGAGCTGAAATTGTGAACGAAATTTTGATTAGTACCTATCCAGGGTTTTTTCTGATGTATGGGTGTGGCTCTTCCTTGCAATAGCTGTTTAACCATTAGCTCCATGGATCAACGATAGTTCGCCCCTTCCACTGAAGATTTTCGCGTGCAAAGGCACCATGATAGTCCCGACACTTGACAAATGTTGTGCTATTCAGGTGGGTCCACATTGGAATCGTGCGATCAGAGTTGATTGAAATGAAAAAAAGAAGCAAAGGATCACCTTTCTGGCGATGAAGCCTTTACAAGCGATTTCCTCTCTCGACCACATGAAATGAGGAGGAACGATATCCGGACGAGTTTTCTGACTTGCCTTCTCCACAGCTCCGCTACCTATTCATTTAAATTAGCCTCTACTATCGTAATCTCACGTTGTGTCTCATGGAGTGTGCACGAGATAACTCGTCCATTAGCTCACACTGGCTCACTTGTAAGGCATTAGTGCTACTGTCCCGCATTTTCGAGCTGAGCAAACAGCAACATCTGTGATAACTCGTGGCTACGTTACCCACCTCTGTTATCATACAGTAAGATTTGCGCTCAAACATTCACACAACTCGGTTTTGCTTAAAGGACGAATTCACGATGAAAAAGCAACCCATTTCAAATTAACCTAGGGATGGTGAGTGGTACACGAAAGAAGGAAGAACCATGAGAAACGGCCCAGAACCCGAGAAATGGTACCCCTTCCTTGCCCGTTGATTCGAGCATTGATGCGACTCTCATCGCTGTGCCCTCTTCAACACTACGCTCTCTCAGCTATCTAATCACTCGCCACGTATTGAACTACGGCGAGTGATCAGATGATCGGTGGGCGGAGATCGCCGGACCCGCCAGCTTTGAGGCATGATAGGTCGCCGAGGTCAAATTTTTCCATGCGAATTGCGCGTCAGTTCGCACCCTCAGGAGGTCCGTGGGTCCCTCAACTAGGTCAGTTTCCCTTTCTTCGACCTTCATTCTAATCGTGAATTCCTCCTTTAAATGATGAGTACAATATTTTGGGCTTGTCTTAATAAAAGGGAGCAGGTGATGCAATAACTCATTCCGCCTACAATAATCCCTATTTGGCAGGGGAGAAAGCTGCGGGGCGTGATCCATTTCTCTTTCGTCTTGCCAACCACGGAGCTTACTTACTGAATTTGGAATTGCTTTAGGTGGCATCTACTATTGCTCTACATACATGGCTCCACCCTCTCGGTATATAGATCCTGACTCTTAGAGTATCAAAAAAGAGGCTGTTCAAGAACTGTCATCGACTTGAACTTATTTTCCTGTAGTGTGGGCTGTTCTTGTTAGCCGTTAAGGTCAACTAGAGCTGCCTCGCTTTGAGCCGCAACCTTTCAGAACTACAGTTCATTTGAGTGATTTTTGTGTTGATGGAGTGAGATTCGGACCACCTGATCTTCACGTCAGTACTTTTCGTAGCCGTGAAACACTACTTCACCTAACTTAGCATCAATCAATGCTTACCTGGATGAATGCCAATTTTGGAGAGAGCAGTTTTGCCTGCTCAGTCTTCAGTCCGTAAAACTGAAAAGATTTCTATCAGTGAAAAAAGTCAACAATTTTAGAACCATTCTATATAATAAATGGTATGAACTGCTATAAAAAACGATAGTACCATCAGTAGAGTTGTAATTAATCCTCCAAGTGTCAAAGCGAACATGAAAAGCATGGCCCATGTGTCCATTGACTGTTTAACGCTATGCAATTCTGCAAAGAAAACTCATGAGCATCTTACAAAAAATGTTTTTAGATCAATGGGCTTTATGTTCTGTAACGGTGCGTTCTCATTGACTTCACAGTAGCTGATCATTGGGAGTTCAGCCTGAAGTGTCTCCATAGTTGGGGGGGGGGCGTCGTGGGCAGAATCCCGAAGTCATACAAAACCACCACATGCATTTCCTTTTTAAAACTCTCTTGTCGTTTTTTTGCACAGTCAAAATCAGAATGGTTCATCCTTATTCTGGTGCTTCGTTCTCTACGATGAACTGCACTATGAATGCTATGGTAAACTTCTGCCCCCCCCCCCCCACCAAATTCCCTCACATACTTGTCATTAGACTGCAACCAATATAGTCGATCAGCTCGAAGCCAGGTATCCATGCAGAAGATGCATATCGATTACCTGGCTGGCTGCTCAAAATAGGATTCCACGATAAAGTCGAAGGTCGAAAAAGTGGAAACCAGCTTACCATTAGTGAAAAGACAGGCGACTGAGGGAGGCCCTAAGGGTGCGGACTGAAATGCATTTAACAGCGAAGAATATGCTCTCATCACTCTAGCATAGCCGTTATCGCGCCGCTATCGACGCGACACGCCCACCGACTGGCTAACCACTCGCCGCAATTCTCTAGACGTTTAGCAGAGAGAGCGCTAGCGCTAGAGACCGATGAGAGTGGCATCAACGCGGTGATCAACGGACAAGGAAGGAATCCCATTCCCTTAGTACTTGGCAGTTCCTCTTGCTTTTTCTTCACCACTGGTCACCTCTACCTTAATTCTAATTGGCTGACTTCTGAACGTAAGCTCTGCATTTGAAGGCAAGGTTCGGGCTCAGCCTCACTGGAGTAGTCGCTCCCGTGGATAGAGATGTGTGGTCAGCCATTGCAGAGGTCGCGTCACCTACCCATATCGAAAAGCGCCACAAGGACGCTATGCGCCAAAGACTCTGATCAACTCCACCCAAAGAATTGTGAACGTTCGCGTTCGATATAGTGTACAGGTAGTGTTAACCTGTTATACAGTCCCTTCTCGGATTTCTTTACCCTCTCCACGACTCATATCTCATCTTCGTGCCTGCCTCAGACTTCATCACAGCAGAGAGCAAGAGGGCTTGTGTTTCTTGTGTTTTTGACGATTTTCTTTCCAATTTTCACCACCTGCAGTCCTCTTCGCATCCTTATGTTCATATTTAGTGGGATCACCACATCAATTCCATCCTGATGGCTTCAACAACTAACGATGTATTTTTCACCGGCCTCCGTCTCATTTCGTGGAACATTTCCTCGTTTGAAGTCGAGTAATGCAGCCAAGATGCCCGGCGACAAGTTCGCCGTGT